TTCGAATGCCACCATGGCAGATGGTGGAATTTGAATTCAATTAAAAAAAAATCTGGAATTAAGAATCTACTGATGACCATGAATCCAATTGTCAGAAAAACCCATCTGGTTCACTAATGTCCTTTAAGGAAGGAAACTGCCGTCCTTACCTGGTCTGGCCTACATGTGACTCCAGACCCACAGCAATGTGGTTGACTCCCAACTGCCCTCTGGGCAATTAGGGATGGGCAATAAATGCTGCTTAACCAGCAACGCCCTCATCCTGTGAACGAATAATAAAAAAATATTCCTGGGATGGCAGAACTGACCGATGAATCAGTTAGGATTATATTCCCTGGAGTTTAGAGGAATGAGGGGGATCTCATAGAAACCTATAAATTTCTAACAGGGACTAGACAGAGTAAACACAGGAAGGATGTTCCTGAAAACCGGGGGTGGGGGAGTCCAGATCCAGGGGGTCACAGTCTAAGGATACGGGGTGGGACTGAGATGAGGAGAAATGTCTTCACCTGGAGAGTGGGGAGTCTGTGGAATTCCCTGCCACAGAAAGTGGTTGAGGCCAAAACATTGAAAGTTTTTGAGAGGGAGTAGGATATAGTTATAGAGTGATAGTCATACAGCCATCCAGCACAGAAACAGACCCTTCGGTCCAACCAGGCCATGCTGACCATAATCCCAACTAAACTATTCCCACCTGCCTGCTACTGGCCCCTATCCCTCCAAACCTTTCCTATTCATGTACTTATCCAAATGTCTTTTAAACGTTGTAACTGTACCCACATCCACCACTTCTTCTGGAAGTTCATTCTATACACAAACCACCTTCTGTGTTAAAAAAAAGTCCCTCATGTCTTTTTTAAGTGTCTCTCCACTCACCTTAAAAATGTGCCCCCTAGGCTTGAAATCCCCCCACCCTAAGGAAACGACACCTACCATTAACCCTATTGATACCGCTCATTATTTTATCCACCTCCATAAGGTCGCCTCTCAGCTTCCTACGCCCCAGTGAGAAAAGTCCCAGCCTGTTTTTTTTATAACTCAAACCCTCCAAACCCAGCAGCATCCTGGTAAACCTCTTCTGAGCCCTATCTTGCTTACTTCTTAGGGCTAAAGGGATTGAAGGGTATGGGGGGGAGAAAGCAGGAAGAGGGGACTGATTTGGATGGTTAGCCATGATCATATTGAATGGGAGAGCAGGCTCGAAGGGCCAAATGGCCTACTCCTATTTTCTATGTTTCAATTATACCCTCTAAGAAAGAGAGCTTAGAGCTTAAAAGCCACAGATACATCCTTCCGTGACATGTTGACCTCAGTACCAGGTCGAGTAAAGCCCCATAGGCCCAGCAGGAAGTGACCATGGGCACTCCAGGGCTTTCAAAGGAGAGTGTACGATTTTAGCTGGCTCCAGACCAACACTCCCTTATAAATGACACACGCAGTGACATCAGGCTGGACAATAAACAGCATTGTGTTCACCTCAGGAATCAACATAGGTTTCAGAACGGACCTAACACAACCATTCAAAATAGTCTTTGTTCCCAGGACTGACGAAAATGAGCCTTTAATAAACAAGCACTAGGCTGTTGCTCAGTCAATAACAGGCTTCCTGTCATTCTCTCTCTCTCTCTCTCTGTATCTCTCTTCAATCGCTCTCTCTCTCTCTGTGTGTGACACAGGGCCCAGGATAGATGCAAGGAGTCGGAGGTTGTCTGCAGGTTCAAAGTGCACAAGGCTCTGTCAGGGTGTGGGTTTGGTGAGGGAGCGGGGGGGTGGGAGGTGAGAGGAGGGGTCTTAGTTTCTGACCCGCTAGAGTCAATACAACTGAAAAGATTCTGTCACAGGAGGTGGGGAGAGAAATTTGGGACACTTCCCAGTGTCAGAGGTCCTTGTCCTGGTTCTGTCCTTTTGCCCCCTCAGACACTTTGACAGGGGAGTCACTGGAGGTCATTCAGAACCACAGGGTCGCCCAAAGGTGAGTTTTCACTTACAGTCTTCCACTACTGTCCCATAGTGCCCGGGGGTGTGCGGGTTAGGGTGGATTAGCCATGCTAAATTACCCATAGTGCCCAGGGATGTGCAGGTTAGGGTGGATTGGCCATGCTAAATTACCCATAGTGCCCAGGGATGTGCAGG